CAGCATGCTTTGAACGTTCAATTTAGCATTCAACTTCCCTCACTAGAGCATAACTTTGACTTGTGTTAAATGTAAGAATGTATACACCATAACTTTGATTTAAGCGAGGTACTATTGCAATTGAACTACAATGTTAACATAAGAAGTGGTAAAATGCTGGGGGAGGGGGTTGACCATGACCAAAGTAAAACGTTCATTAATAGAAACAAACAAGAAGGTGCTGAAAACTATCTAAATGAGATACCAGTGCCATTTTATTTTTTTATTTTTTTTTGGGGGGAGGGGGATCACCTTATATGAATTGATTGCTCCTTAGCAGATCTAAGACTTGAATCTTCTGGTGGTAGCAATTTGCACAAAGCCAAGGCCTCCTCAAAGTTTCCAGAGGCTGTTAGTTGTACAATCTGCATCATATATTATATATAAATAAGTTGGGATCACAATCTCACAATAAACTCAAAAAATAATGGAACCTTCGTGGTTCTGCTCCTGAACCTCTTGATCTTAAGTGGGTACAAAAAGTAAGATTTGCATGTATTAGGGAAAAAGCGAGAAAGCCCACAAGGCATTTGATCAATGAACCGTTTAATAAAAAACGATTGACTGAGACAACTCTGTCAAGCATGTACGTAAGTATAGAGCACTTTAGTTGGTTGTTGACCAGCGGAAACCATTGCAGAGGTCTCATAAACAAAACTAATCATGACCAGTTACAACTTGCGATATTGATTTATTTTGCAAGAATTAGACAATCCGTTTGTGAGCCTAAGGCATTCTCAGCTTAGTCATAACAGGCCTCAGTCCCTCCAAAATTGTTCAGTTACACATAGACATAAATGTGCTACAGTTCAAATACTGGAGTAGAAGCATAAGCAAGATAGTTCAACATAATATTAAACTAAACCTCCTTAAGTGACAATTACCTGTGCACCAAGAGGAACAGGAAAAAATCCAAAAACAGAATTGTCAAGAGCAACAATAACAGCATTGTTGCTTCGAACAAGACGACGAACATTCCGAAGGACAACTGTTTGAATCAAAGGATAAGGAACACGAAGAGAGCGTATCTGCAATTTTCCAAAACATCAAACTGCATTATCATTTCAGATAATTTAGATCTAAAGTTATTCACTTAATAATGAACAAAAAGTACGGATTAGCAAATGAAACACTAAAGCTACCTCAACATGTCGCGGTAAAAGACCTATGGCATAGGGCTTCTGAACAACAACAATTGCAGGAGCCTCTGACCAACAAACCCTGCCCTCTTGGATCAACTTTCCATTTTGGTCAACTAAGACACCAATATTATCCTGAAACAACAACAATTAAGCATAGTGGTAATTTTCAAACATCCTTTTTTTTTTATAAGTAAAGGTAATTTTACTGGGAAAAAAAACCCAGAACCAAGCTAACTTGAGTTGGTTCAGTACACAAAAAAAAAATAAAAAAAATTGGACAGTTAGTTTTCAAAGATTTGGACTTCACTCGGGAGAAGTGAGAGATGATCCAACAGGGCTTCATCAACTAAATCATAGAGAGTAGACTACAGATTCTATGGAATCAAAGTCATCAAGGGAATAAGAATGGAGGGTGCATCATAAGATGAAATAGATTCTGAAGTAAAAGTATATTTTCTCTGCTTTATGGATACAATGAAGCTCTGGTATGTGAATTTTGAAAAGAACACTTTGGGAAGATGGTCAGCCTCGGTCTATAAGGCAATATTGGTGTGTGCATGAGTGTGGAAAAGAACTAAAAGGCCAATCAACTCAATGCAATAATGACAGTGATAAGCTTTAGAAGAATGTTGAAAGACTAGGAAGTGAATAGAATAACTGAATTTCTCAGAAGTTTGGAACATTTCCCAGGTAACACAGCAACTGAAGACAGATTATTCTCACAGATGCATAGCAAAGGTATTTACACAGTAAATAGGCCTATATAGTACTCATGCATAGTGGTCAGCAGGGGCCCAAATGGCTTTGGAAGCATATCTGGAAAGTGAAGATACCCTACAAGGTGGCAATTTTTTCTTTTCGCTAGTTGTAAAAATCATGCTTGACTCAAGACAACTTGATGAACCGGGGTTGCAGTTGTGTTCAAAATGTGTTGTGTAGTATGGGTTGGAGTTGACCAGCTTTGGCAAGATGAACTGTCAGATCTTATTTCATTTTTGATGTAAGGAAAAATTCCTAGATGATGCTGAAACATTGATAAAAATCATAGAATTCCTGTACGAAGAGCAAGGAGATATTTTGCTTCTTTTGAAATGTCAACATGGTTTATGCGTAACCTTTGTGCTGATGATATATTACATTATTACCTTTCTAAAAAAATAATAGTGTTACATTACCTTGCCCAAAAGAAGTTCTCCAGAGGGAAGAGACACCACAAGAGGTGTGGCGATCCTCCCCGAAGGGAACACCTCAGACAATGCACCATTGGTGGTATTCAATATCATGTACTCTCTTCTAATCCCCAAGCAGATATTCTCACCACACCAAGACATCGACTTGACTGTGTCAGGAACTCCAAATTCTTTCACCTCCACAAATCCTCTCCCCCCTATCAAAGTTTCAAATAAGAATCAGACTACACTAACAGAACTCCTATAGCATGACAAAACTACTATCATCAATATCCAAACTTCTTTGAGCAAGAAACCTGAAAGTCAAGTCACCAAGTGCAAGAAGGAAGAATTTACGGGCACTTATGATACTTGTGTTAAACGCAGTGAACAGAAAACTATACCTCCCTCCAGCTATTTTCGGATGTCAAAAAATGTTTGAACCATTCCATTTCCATACAACTTTCACAACTTCCAAAAATTCAAATCATTAAACTACTTTAAAAACCGGTGTTAACTGATGTTTACTATATCAATTATCTTTTCAACCATCAGTTTAATACTTTCTTCTACTTGCCTTATTGAAACATATGAATCAAGTTAATATCTTTACGTCTGCTCAAATATTGTCATATTTTAGTAGCAAGTACAAGGGAAGTAGCTAATTTGGAAGATCTGCAAAAGGTTAGCTACAGTTCAAGGTTATGTCTCCACTTACCGGAGGCAAAAACAGATTCAGACTGCATTCTTTAACACATTTAACCATTACCTTTATAGTGGTAAAGCATAGTTCTAATTATGTTAGTAACATCATACCAATGGAAAAACACTTCCTTTCACATCTAGCAGACACTGAAATACACACTCACTCATCTAAAATCATCAGAAATGCATCAATATCAACTTCCAACAAACAAATATCGTAATAAACTACAATTCAAGTAATTACCATCATGTCTGAAGATACAAACCCTCTTTTGCCTCCCAAAGCATAAAAAACCCCTTTTATCATCCCACGAATACACATTTGCACCTTTAGCCTTAGTAATCACAGCTAAAGTCTCCAAATTAGGCAGCCGATGGAACGCAATAGACTCCGAAAGGGAAAGCAGAAGTTCTCGTGAGACGAGGACTTCCATAGCCAGCATTTGTCGTCTGGAGAATCCATTCACAGTTCTTTCAAGCACGTATCGTTCCTGTTGAAGCCCTAAGTTTTGGTTGTGGTAATCGGATGGCGGAGATTGACCGGGAACGGAGGATTCAGGACCGTAAACATGGAGAGATCCATCGGAACAAGCGACGAGCAAATTTGAACCGTATGACTCGACAGCATCGATTTTCGTTGGACAACTATTGAGAAGTTCGAAGGAATCGTAGGCACTGTGCACCATTTTTTTTAGCTTCGTTCTTCTCCGATTGATTTTTGTCTCCGATGTCAAATTTCTCTCAGTTCGACAGTTCACGTGAAACGACGTCGTGTTTGCATGTTGATTGCTCAACTGGAGCCTTTGTTACAAACTTACAGTTACATGCTTTGTCCCGCTCTTTTTGGATTTTGTCTAAACTTTACTATTTCTTGTCCTATTTTATTTGTCGTTTTTACTAAAAATAAATGATTAAAATATAAAATATAATGAATAAATAGAGTTAATTTAGTCAAATTTGTAATTTTTTTATTATAAATATATTACTTTAAAAAAACTTGAAAGAAAAAACACGATAAGTAAAATAGATTGGAGGCCGGAGTATAATTTATTTTAGTCACATGTCATGTCAAAATTAGATCATCGTGCAATTCTCGACTAAACTTCATTTATTTCTTTTTTGGCAAATGATATAGTAGAACAATTATCAACTGTCACACACAGTTCAATATGATTATAATTATAGAAGGCGATATATTTTAATTGATTAATTTGTCTATGTAATGAGTGCTTGAAAATACACGCAAAATTTTGAGTCTAAAATGTGTAATAGTAATTGACTGGTGCACTTCAGCATCATAGGAATAATGGGTGATCTACTGGTATTGAACTTTCGACTTGTCTCACCAGTAAAACTTCAAGTTAAAACTACTTTTGATGTTGCACACAATGGTGAAATTTGCCTTGATTGAAAAGACTACTGGACAATTCGAAGATAAATGTTGCAGTTTTTATACATTTCTAGTGGAACTCAACCATCAACTGTGAGTAGTAACAAGAATGTCACTTCTTGTGATCTAGTAGCTGACCAAGGGCAAAAGTCACAAGTAAAATGAAGCCTTAATACAAAATTTCAATCATTTTCATTGATAACAAAGTTCTCTAACCAGTGTCATATCAGGTCTAGTGTATTTTCTGTATATACCAATATGTGCAGATTCATTGTATTTACTGTTGACATTCAATCTCAAGCAACAACATATCCAGGTAAATCCCACACAAGTGGGGTCTAGGGAGGTTCAAATGGGAGTAGAGAGGTTGCTTCTGATAGACAAATATTCAATCTAAAGCAATACACCAGCATTTTGTCATCCACCGCACACAAAAACACCCAACATTATGGACCTATAGGCACTGCCCTGAATGACAGGTTATGGCATCAAGCTAAGACTAGAAAGAAATAAGATACTGCTAACACAGAAATTTAAACTCAGCATAAGTAGTAGTAGTATTGGCCAGATGCCAAGAAGAAGATTCATACATTAGCCAATAAACATAAAATGGCGAGCGGCCATTCAGCTGGCAAAACATGACGATCAAAATGACACTTATTTGTGGCCCTTCTTCTTCCAGAGGTCACCAAACATCTTAATACCAGAACCTTTTCTCTTGCCATGTCCAAAAACATCGTCTGAATCATCAACTAACCCTGGTGAACCCATGTAACTGCCATATCCGCCAACACCTGGTTCAAATACATTACCAAAGTGCTTATCCATTGATCCACACCTCTCCGGTAGCCTTCTCCCGTTCATCTCCACACCTCCTCCAGCTAATATTGCTGCTGCAGCATCTGCAGCTTTCCTCCATTGTTCTGTTTGGACTCTTAGTTTCTTCATCTCAGCTTCTAATGCCTCTTTTGCCTTCTCAGTGGCTTCAAGTTTCTCCTTTAAATTAAGTCCATCATTCTTGCTTGTTTCCAGCTCTTGTGTTACTTGGTCTAGCTTGAGGCTCGTTTCGTCTTCCTTGGCCTTAGTGGATGATATCTCTTGCATCTTTTCATTCAGCTCCTTTTTCAGGTTTTCATTTTCTTGGCTGAAAACCTCAAGTTCTTTTTCTTTCTCCTCCAACTTGGATTTCAGTGAACTAATCTCTTCATCCTTCAAATTCAGCTCTTCAAATGATGGTTTCACCCGTTCATCAGGTGAAAGACTTGAACTTTTCAAGTCATCTTCAGTAGAGGGGTGGCTAACTTCAACACTTGGAGGAGGCTCCACAGTTAACTTCTCAACTGGAACTTCAAACACATCTGTTTCTTTCATTTCATCGTCATCTTGAATTTCATGACTTGGATTGATTCTGTTGTCATTGTCATTGTTGGTTTCTTGGATTTGGTCAGACTCAACAACAGTTGGCTTCTTGGTTTTCTTCTCAAGCTGTTCTTGAGCTGCTTTTTTTGCAGCCTCAGCTGAAACTAACTGCCCTTTCAGGGACTTGAGCTCATCCTGTGCTTGGCCAAGTTGAGATTCCAAATCTGCAATTCTTGTTCCAAGTTTCCTTTGATTCAGTGGATCAGATTGAGCACCACGTGGAGAGCGACGATCACCTAATTTAGGACTCCGGTCAGTCACTGGCCTATGGTGTAGAGGATCAGACTCAGAGCTTGATGTTCTAAGTTGTGAAGGGGCTCGAGGAGATTGCCTTTGAGGCATTTCTGATCCCCTATACTCTCAAAAATTGAAAAAGGAAATTACTGTTAGATACTATAAACAATAAGTTTGTAACATATAAGAAGGATAACAGTCCATAACAAACCGGACACGGATATCCTGCTACAACATGTTAAAATACACCAATATTCTAAAAAAATCGTTTACGTTTACTCATACAGCTTGTAAAGGGAGTGCAAATCATCCCAAGAACTCACCTTGATCTTGGCATTGTGCCTTCTTAAAATGTTAAATGATGCAAAGCTTCTAACACTTCAAAAAGCTTGATCTGTGGAAGTGAAGGATCAATTATCAGTTTTAAGTCAGCAACAACATATCAATTGTAGTCACACAAGCGAGATTTAAGAAGGATAGTGTGTACGCAAACCTTGCCCCTACCTAAGGTAGAGAGTTTGTTTCCGATACACCCTCGACATTCAATAATAGGATTGAAGAAACCAGGACAAAATATGATAAATCAGTTTAAATCATATCAACAAAATGCATCAAGTTCACCACATTGCATTAGAATTGAAAGTTTTCAGAAATAATTTCAAGAAAGTAACATACAAACACAACAATAGAAGCAGGAAAAACTAATTTTGAGTACTAATTCAATGAAATTACACCTTTTGGCTTTTGCAGCAAAGCCAGAAATGTCCAACAACACTTTTTTGAGGAGTGTAACAAATAACCCACCAAAGTAATTAAGTAAATAATACAACAGTGACACATACAAAAGATAAAAGAAAGAAGCATGCTTTTAGAACAGAGCAAAAGGAAATTTTGCAGACACCTTTAACCCATGCATATGTCAATGTCATTGAAAAATGTGCACATAATATTCTAATAAAAGAAAAAAAATACTAGAAGGGGTTACAAATATTAGATTTTCATATAATCTTATTATGTCTGTTTGCATGATTACACTCAAAAAGTTCACCAAAATGAAGATCTACCCAACAAATGATCGACTACTCGAACTCTTCAAAAATACTAATGTACTCGTATCAAACCCTCCAAAAAATGCGCTTTGAAGAGTCCGAGCAACATAGAACGTGAAAGAGAATATAAACTAGAATTCTTTGAAGGACTATAGTATTATAACCTCAAAAAGTGAGATTTGCTCTTATTTTAATGTTCTTGAAAGAGAATCATAAATCACTTTTGACCAAACAAACACAAGTCCTTAAAAAAGAGGAAATTTTGATCTTTACAAAGACAAAAACAACAACAAAAGACAAAGGAAGAGAAAAATAGAAATATCAAGAAAATGTCCCTCAATTCTTACTTGTTCTAAGCAAAAGTTGATACAAGAAGCCTTGAGAATGAAAGAAAATAAAAAAACACTCACAAAGCAGAATCAAGAAAAAGGCTTTAGCTTTTTGTGGATGCAAGATTGCCTATGAATGAGGGCTTACTTACCAGCATTAAAAGCCCTTTCCTTTTTCTTGAAAAAGTGAGACAGTATAATTTGAGTGGAGCAGTAAAATTTTCTAGCCAAGTGATATTTTAAAGATTTGAACTTTGAAATGTTTGAAGTTTGAATTAAAGTTGGGTGGCAGAGTGGAAGTGGGGGGAAGAGGACAAGAGGGTAAATTTGAATGATAAAAGTAAAAGGACACCAAATAATGTCACCATGGTCTTGGAAAAATCATCTTTTCTTTTTTTAGTTTTCATCGGTGTTCGGTATTTGCATTAAAAATTTCAATCATATCTAGATTGGTGTTGAAAAATCCCATTTCGAGGTAAGACTGTTGATGAGAATAATCCTAAATTGGAACGGGATGAGAATTTTGCACTCCTTATAAGGCTTGAATAATTCTTAATTCTTTGAGCTAGTTTTTATGGTGTGACTTAGGCATAAAAACTAAGTCACCATGATATGAGGGTCACACTCATTGAATTCAATGTGGCGCAAGTTGTGAATATACTCTTGATCCATGAATATTTTGCTCTGAACTAAACAGTGAAGCCTCAGATAAAGAATATTTAAATCCTAACATGAGGAGTGTTACTCTACATCCGATCAAAAAAAAACTTTGAGTTTGTTATAAAATTGGGCAATCCTCTTCCTGATTATTCTTATCAACAAAACATTTGAAGAAGTCCATCACTAAGAATGGCAAAGGTGACCCTTTTTTTTACTGTTCTTTTGCTTCTTTTCAAACCACTTACGTTTCTTGATTACTGAATCTTTTTTCTCTTTCTCAGCATCTAAATTATGGATAACAGTGAAGATTATTTAACCTTTGAATTTCACACACTAAAACCAAGAAAATTAAATATTGGACTTTGAACCATGGAAGAAAGGAGCTATGTGTCCCATTAGATAATTGAGACAACTACTAAGAAACAATTGAAAACTGAGTTAGTATTATTTTAAGTAGTTTTTTTTTAAAAAAAGATCTTACTCCCTCATTCACTTTTATTTTATCCACAACACAATAAACATCACACGTCCCTTAAAAGAATAATACATATTTTATCGTTATAGTTAATGCTAAAGATAAAGAAAAATAATTGTATTTCTATTGATATATTAAAAATGAAAATATTCCTTTTTTCTTCACTTTTAAGTTTCAAGGTAACTTTTTGCTACTCTTTTGCTCAAGTAGTAGAAATGATGTTGTCACTGATAAAAATTGTGGTGGAGTGATAAGTATTTCTTCATTTTTAATCAACATGTCTCTAATTTGAGTCTTCTTACATATGGAATTGCCTTTGTAAGGAAGCGTTTTATACCCAATACAAAACTTTCTGGTGCGAATCCAAATTTAGTTGCGCTAGATAACGGGAAACCAAAAAAATGATGTTGTCTATAGTCTATAGCCTATTAAAAAATGAAAAATAAAAGAGACATGATTGTTCATCATTTTTCAGTCCCAGAAAATTAAAAAAAGAAAATTCTCCTACTCCTTTCTTTTCTTTTACTTCTATATCTATAACTTAAGAGAAACTTTTTCTTAATTAGATTGGGTTTAATAATAAAAATTCAATCTGTTTTTCTATGCATGGTTCTCATTATACTAGTATTAAAAGGCATATCTTTAAGATCAATTATGCTAATCATGGAGGCTAATGATGTTTGACTCTATTTTATCAAATTTCATTATCAAACAGCAACATACTCAGTGTAACATTTGCAAGGTAGCTGATAGTCCTTCGACTCAAAATAAATGTTTCAGATAAAGTTTCACTATCCATATTTAGAATCCATCCTAGACATAATCCAGCCATTAAGCAAGAATCCATATAATTAACACATTCCAATATTATTTGATAAAAGAAGCAACGTTTGTCTTTTAACACTTGATTTTTTTTCCAAAAGGACTACTTCAACTACTAGTTTCATTATTAAGGTCCCTAGACATTCTGGATATTCATGAATAATTATTTAATTAGTTTTGCAAAAATTCAAATCAAGACATTGAAAAGTGATTCAATCATGAATTAATCAAGTGGGACTCAACATCAATTAAGAATTTAGATGGGTGGCCCATGATTATATTCAAAAGAAGTAGCTAGGCTTTAATATATAAAAAAGGAACATTGCATGTGAAGTCTAAATGCATCCCAACTACTCCATGGAACCAGATTATACTTTTTTGTGGTTCTCATCCGCTGTATGGAAGCCCACATTGGAGCCCCGATTAAATTTGAATTGCGCACTGTAGGGTCCATTCATGGGTGACGGTCCCAACAAGATTTTTTTCATACCCAGGGCTCGAACCCGAGACATCTTGTTAAGGGTGAAGCAGTCACACCATTGCACCACAACCCTTGTTGGTAGATTATACATACATCAACCCAACCCCCACCCCCTTTCCAATTTTTTTTTAATCAAATACTATGAATCTTTCGATTTATTGGCTTTCACGCTTAATTACTTAAGGTAAATTTACAAATGTTTTTTTATGAATATAATGAGTCTGTCTTCTCTTTTTTGTTAATAGGGTAAAAGGTCTGATATACCCCTCAATTTTGTCATTTAGAGCTGATATATCCCTCGTTATGAAAGTGGTTCATATATACCCCTACTTATATACAAATGGCTCACATATACCCTTTTCTTCTAACGGAAATGAAAAAAATTAATTTCAGGTTAATTTTATTTTATTTTAAAAAATAATAATAATAATAATAAAAAAAAAATAATAATAAATTAAAAAATAAATAATATATATATATATATAATCTCATATGAGTATATTTAATCCTCCTCAAACATATATTTTTTTTAAAACTTTTTTTTGTTTCAATGACTAATTTAGATTTATTATTTTGATGGTCAAATTTATTTATGTTTCACTAATATTCTTGTAAAACTTATCATAGATGACCAAATTTTTTTCTTCAAATACAAAAATTAAATTATAATATAGCCACAAAAAAATAGTTTTAATTTTTTTTCTTTACACTAAGGAATGAAAGAAAAAAATAAAATAAAATAAGAAACTCAAATAATTATAATAAAAGAAGTCAAAAAACAATTTATGTATAAAAAAGATTAAAATATACCTTGAACTTTGCTAGAAGAATCATATATATCCCTAAATAATTTTTAAGAAAATTAAAAGTCAAAAATATAAATCTAAAACTAACTTTTTCACTTCCGTTAAATGAAGGGTATATGTGAGCTCATTTTGTAACGGTAGGGGTATATGTGAGCCGTTTGTATAACGGTAAGGGTATATATGAGCCACTTTCATAACGAGGGGCATATCAGCTCCAAGTGGCAAAGTTGAGGAGTATATCAAGCTCTTTTCCCTTGTTAATATTTCAAAAAAATATCGAAGCTAATGTGAGATCAAAATATTCGAAGGTATTAGATGCATGTAAACCCAAGCTCCCACACTATACCACTGACCTCAACTATTTTATTTTTTTTAAGAAAAAAATATGATCATTCTAAGTTTCTATTAAATTTAAGAAAAACTATATTATGCATATCTTATTTATAAATTTAATTTTTTATCACTAAACTATGATCTAAGTGATATACACTTTTACTTTAATATTTGACTCGTAGACGTTAACTTATCTTGATTGGTTCAGATCTTGAATCAAAAAATGCATGGATTGTACATTAATTAATCAAATGATGGGTCATAATAATGTGAATGGAGACTTTTCTTATTATAGGTTAAATAAAGAATTGATTGATCAATATGGGTGGTGATTTGTGATCCTTCCGCTTTTAAAAGAAAGTATTGGATTTAGCTCTTGGAAATGAAAAAAATTATATTAAAAGTGTCGCCCCAGAAATGGATCATATAATGCGTGAATTCAAATTTAATTAAATAATAATATAGATAACAAACACCGGGTGAAAAAAAATTGATTGAAACTCAATCATGGGGTATTGTTTTCGGCCATTAATAATTTAATATGAAAGTCATATGTGAATGCCTGCGCAGAGTGCAATATTATTTTCATATAAGCATTAATTTATATCTTTATGTTCGTTAGCTCTTCTATAAAATTCAATAATTAAAAGATTACCTAGAAATGTTTTATTTATTTTTCTATGTGATAAAACCTTTGAAATCATAATTTCCTCTTCCCCATGAAATGACGACCTACAATACTTTGGGAAAAAACATATAGAAAAGTCAATATAATTAGTTAAACATATTAGTCTATTATTTATCTTTTGTTTCATTTATTAGCTAGAGATGTACACTTTGCTCCTTATCGTTGCTGCGAAGGTCAAAAAAAAAAAAAAAATCCTTAGCGCAGCGACCAAAGTCGATCGTTACATAATTAATATCTATATAACTAATATCTATCTAATTAATATTCAGATTACTAATATGTGCATAACGCTGTCCAGCTATTAAAAATGACCCGTAAGTGAATTAAACTTAGATCCGAAGAGAAGTTATTATAATAGTAAGAATAAATAAAGTGATGGTGAGATGTAAAAATCAGAGAGCCCACCAAACTTGAATTTGATTAGATAATTGAACTTATTTGATTATTCTCACTAAATTAATATTAATAGTAATACTTTTTTTAGTTTAAAAAAAAGTCCAAACCAGATTAAGCATCTTCAGTAGTACTCCAAATTGGGTAGTACACTTGGTACTACTTAATACTCATGTTCCACAATATTTAATCTTGCAAAATTTTATAAAATTGAAATGTCAAATATAATATTAGCATTTAGCAGTACTGGAATTGTACTATAGTAAAAAAAAAAAAAAAGTAGTACTACTAAAAAAAACATTGAGACACTCTTGAGTCTTGATGATAATATATATTACATAGTATATGTTATTGTAGTACAATCATACACATGTACTTGCTAGGCCGCATTTATTTGTGAAAGAATAATATAATGTACTGCATCATATCAATAATCTTATCTATAAAAGGAGTCAAATTTGCTACATTGAACATGCCAAGAGGAAATTGAATTAAAGAAGAAGTAGAAGATGACATTTTGTTGGTGACTTTGGTCTCAAAAGAGTGCTTATCATTGTTTAGTTAATTTATTTACAGTATGTTATTTGTCTTATTTTACGTTAGTAAACTATTTATTGGAACCTATTTCAAAAATTAGTTTTTTTAGTTAATAGTCTTTCAAAAACATATTTTATATCCAGCAAGAGGTAAGAATAAAATTTATATACATTCCATGACCCCATTTATGAGATCATACTGGATATGTTGTTGTTGTTGTTGTTGTTTATTTCAGTAAATTGCTTACGTAGTATATAGTATTGTACCTTAATTGAATGTTTGATGCATGTTTGTGTGGCGGTGAAGCAATATTTGATCCTTTATATGCAATAATATTTTTTTGTTGAAGATCGTTCAACTAATCATCTTGAATCTAGCTAGTTTCTGTGATATAAAAGAGCCAATTTGTGGTTACAAAAGATAACCACCGTTTTTATATACTTCATATAGTATTTGTAAGAATGATCCTTGTTTTTTACTTTTTGAACTTAGAAATGATTTAGATGCTTTAATTTAAAATTTTAAGCATCGTGTAGTCTTGCTTTTTTGCATTATATGCCTTTTTTGCTCTAACATTTGTTCAAGAAATTTGCATTCTTGTACAATGGAATTGTGAAATAATATTTGTAGGAATATCAAGCATTATTATCATCATTATATGGACACATGGCATTATACTCTTGGGACCAAAGTCACCAACAGAGTGTCAAATTTCTCATCATTCCAAGGTCAACAACAACGACGGAGCCAGAATTTTTATCAAGGAAAATCAACGTCTTTTCTTAATTAATGATTTCTATTGTTTTGTTGTTTTATATTAGTGCCTTTTTATTTTCATTGGAGGATGTAACCAGCTTAGATGTAATCCCCAGATATATATGTAATGATCAATCCCCTACCTTTTGGGGTATGTTTACTAAGCTTGTGTTTGGACATGCAATATAAAGTAACACTTTATTTTGTCTCTCATGTTATTGTGACAGGATTATTGTATTTGGACGGATACAGATATAAGATAATTATAATTTTTCTCAATGTTCTGAAAAATATTTAATCTAGGAAAATATGCCCCTTCAAATGAAAAAGAAGACTTTCCTAATGAATGAGAATAAAACAAATTTCATAAGTGATATTCTAAGTCCATTATTTCCTCCCCACTCACCCAACGACCTTGAACATCCCACCCCCGACCCCCACTCTTCACCCCATAATAGTAATTGTTCTTAAAGACTACATACACGATAATTCGAAACAGAGAAAGTATATATTCTCCCTTTGTAACATGGTATCATCTTTCTGAAGTTATCAACTGGCACTTATGTGTAACTGGCATTTGAAGTAACTTGTCATAAAACTATTAAACATCCTCAGAAATTAAAGCATTGAAGTCCATAAACACACCATTTGGCTAATTTTTAAAAAGAAACAAAGTACAACTTCAAGTAACTCGGCAACTATTTACAATTTGTGAATGAGTTTAACTTGCAAAACTTGATATATGCAGGGCTCAAGCAACATTTCATTCACTAGAATCAATTTCTCTGTTTTCGTACAACAGTATACCGAAATACGAAAGGGATGAAAAGTGAGATGGAAAAAGGTAGAGGAGAAGGGAAGGGAAGGGAAAAAAAGTAGTTGCATTTTCTTTTTTGCTTTTTCTTTGGGTTGAGTGGCGATGAAACACGAGTGGAATCCTCACAACCCCACATCATCTAGCACTACTAGTGCCAGGCCACCCCAGGTGGACTAGACCGCGCACTTGCCTCAGCCAGTGAAACAGCCATAGCTAACATCATCTGCTCTTCAAAATTCTCAGGAACGATTGAACTGGTGGTGGGTTGAAGATCACTTACCATTTCACCCTGCAGAGGGAATGAGGCATCATCTTCCATTTCGTCAGAGACTGCATAACTAGTACCAACTTCGGCTACCATGGAACCATGATCTGCCCATTCACCGTCCTCCCTTGGTATTTCCAAATGGCTTTCAGGTGACACGTGCATGGTGCCCTCAGCATGAGGGTAATCATCATTCTCTAGCTCCTCCCTATTGGGAAACCTATCACATGAAGGATGCTCATTGTACGATGATGACATGTTCCGACTGTAGCTACTGGACTCTCCACTCATTTGCTGGCGCTCAGCAAGGGCTGCAATTGCACAAGCAAGACCACCAGAAGGAGAGGAAGATGAGCCAGAAGCTGCGGGATTGACTGCTGGGACACATCGATGATCTTCTTCTGTATATTGTTCTGATGGACCAACATCACTATAGTCCATACTTCGATTTCTGCCATTCTCCTATCATGTGATCAGTTTCATGTGGAATATTAAGTGATATACCATAATAACGTAAGTTCCACAGGTAAAAGCATGACCGAATGATCAACCAATCCCAAAGAGTAACATCATGTTAAAAGCAGCAATAGACAACACAGCGAAAGAAAAGAAACGATATCCCATTTCAATGGGAACACCACTCTCACATTTTTTTTTTTGACAAAGGTAACAGTAAGTCAGTGACACCACTCTCACATATTTTCCACTAAAGATTTTCAAAAAATGCGAAGGATGACTATCCAAAATTCAAAAGCAATATGAAAAGTCCCTGGGGGGAACAAGAAATTCCCATTTCCATCATACTCGAATTGAGAGAAAGATGACACTTTTGACTCATTTACGCCACAACCATCCACAACGGAAAATAGAAAAATCAAGCACTTCCCTCAGAAAAGAGAAATCAAACACTTCAAACAGTACGTCAAACAAAAGATAAAAGCTCTAGCTTTCCTCCCCAACAACAGGAAAAAAATGACAAAGGAAGAAGCAAGAAGATAGTGTGTGCATAATTTACCTGAATGGATAACCATATGGCTTCCATAACCATGATATCCTCAAGATCCAAGTCAAAATCATCCTCCCTATGTTACAGATCCAGGAAAACAGGTCAGACCATGTAGATAGGCTAAGCTTTTTTTAGGAACACAGGGTAGTAAAATTCAATCAGAGATCACTGTGAACATATTTCATCCAGCTTTTGCTTTTTCTTTGACAAACATGCATATAACAATACTCACAATAACTCTAACACAAAAGCAACAAAACCAAGCAGTGCCTCTACCTCACTGATATCAATGAGACAATCTATGGACCGGTTTAGCAACAACTAGTTAAAAAATTATGTGATACTACAGCTGGAAATTTCAACTATAATGGGAATAAATCTCATCTCATATACACTAGCTTTTTGAAAATGGTTCAAGACAATCCAGATTTGCACGTTGAACATGGCAAGACTATAAGGTAAGACTAAATAAGATAATATAATTTGATTCCTTGACCCAGCCGTTATATTTTGGGTAAGTCGCTCATACGCCAGCGACTTGACCGTTTGGTCATCTCCAAACAGGAGGGCCCTTTATGCATTTTTGCTTGGATAAGTGTCCCTTTTGGCTCCGGATTCACTAACACACCACCCTATTCAGCATTATTATTATTCACTCTACCAAACGACCCCTTACTGTTTCAGCATGAACTTATCTTGAACTTTGATTTTGCTTGCATGTTATCTGCTAACTGTCTTATGGTTCAACATAACAGGAATAAGAAGTCAAAGAGATACCAACCTAAACATCACCTGATTTTGTTGGATTTATTTGAAGGAAATAACAGGGAATATAGTGACTCTAGTAAGAGTTGGTTTTCCACTAATAAAAATGAAGGAACAAGAGGAAGGTGAACTGAAAGAAGCTAAAAGATAACTAATTGCAGGCAACATAGCCAAAAAACTGTAAATTGATGTGCGGAACTTTCAGCACTCATCTGTCTTTTCTTACAAATACAAATACACAGTGCAACCTGACACTTACCCATAGCACCAGATTCATGATCCAAACTACTCCTAGAGGCGGTAAACTTCTCGATGACCAATTAGACTCGGAGCCTACACTTTATAGGAGAACTTAAAACAATGGCACAAGGACTTATTAATATCTTACTTTGGACCATCTAAACAAATTGTTCTAAAAAGTGATTATTTGGTAACTGAATATAACAATCAATTCATTTCTTGCAACAGTTTGTTATCGTCCCTCAAAGTTGATTTTCTTGTTCTGAGAGATTAAAAAAACTAAGTCGATTAGTTTTATCAGATGAAATCCAAGCATAACATGGCCCTTTTATCAGCTTCCATCAAAACTTGAAGAACGTCATATTTTAATTCCCCTGTTTGACATTCCACCAATCACCAATTCGATCAGCCAACTAAGCCTCAATCCTAAACCAACTGGGTCAGCTACATGAATCTTTTATATGTTGCAGTCTTCATGCCAATATCACTCAATAACTCAATACTTCATATTTTAAAACAAATTAAGATTTTCTAAATCACACTCATTCCTAAATTGATATACAAATCTTTGACCAAACTAAAGAGACTCTTTGAAGCCAGGGCTCGGTATAAAGGCTTAATCAAATTGACACCTCTACTAGCATGTTCTTGAAAATCAGGCCCTGAAACTTAAAGTTGACACTATACACCCTCTAGTTGGTCATATCTGTTTTAAGACGCCTCCACCTTTTGACCATGCTTATGTGGCATCAGTCTGGCTGATGCAGCCAAATGGGTATAGATCACACAAGAAACAAGTTTATATGTGAAAAAATCCTTTTTTTTCCTCCCCCAATCCTCACATTCATTCCCTACACACACCCCCTTCTCTCTCATATATTCTTTTTCATGGACGTTAATTAGAAATCTCCATTGTCACCATAGTACCATCAGCTCGAAGCTTTGTTGGGCCACCATTTGTACCTTTCAGTGTTTCCATCGAGCTCACAATTTCCTCTATCCGCGACATTCCATCATCTACTAACACCAACGAAAGCGCATTCATGGAGGCTTTCATCAAACAGCTTAATTATAGAGGTAGAAGTCTTTGGGCCTAATGGAAGAGAAACCAACAGTGGGGGCCCAAAGACAGCTTTCATGTGCTGCCTGTTTTACGACATTGGCCAACTGACAGCAAAACAAACGGGAGCGATTGACCAGGAACGGTTCTGTGGGAAAGGAAAGGTGAGGGGCGGTAATGACAATGACTATCAGGAAGATGGTGGTTTCTGGCAGGGGGAAAAAAGAGGAAAGATATGTCGTTTTTGTGTTCCTCGGGGTTTTATTTCCTGTTGCCTTTTTTTTTTTTTTCAACAGTTCATGGTTGTTTTTCCAATGGAGGATGAGAGGGGTGATCGGAGTAGAGACAAGAATCCCAGGAGATTTATTTGGAGGCAAAGAGGAAGCTAACTGGAAAAGCTTTTTGGCGACCCCCAATCAGAATACTCTCCTTCACTGTTGAGACTTAGGTTCATTTATCAAAAAGTACAAAGAATAGAACATAATCTTTGCTTTCTCCACCTTTTTATTTTATTTCCGTCTTTCGAAATGATTTGCAACCGACGTCATAAATTTGTGTGATGAATTTGTCAAGCACTATGATAAACCCTCTGGAGGCACTTAAAAGTTAAAACATGTGTTCTAACCGAATAGAAGTCTTTAGTTGGAAGAACTCTACGTATAGAGGTTGACTTTGCAAAATTGTGCAAGTAGATGTATCAACTTGTGTATTAAAACCAAAGATAAGTGCAACAACGACTAGTAATTTTCGTAATCCCAACTTACTGATAGGCTTATATGGGTCCTTGATTTGCATTAAGTTATATTCTTACCTAAGTCCGCAAGAATTCCGAGAGATAGTAGATCTTCTGCATGACATTTCTCTGCTACCTACCTCTCTAACACCTTCATCACACCTCTAGGCCAGTTCATATAGTGGTAACTAAGGAAATGGAATCCTTGTGCATCATTAGTTGGTCAAAAAGTCAAACGAGCATTCAAGCTTAGGATTGACTTATTGACAATCAAAAAAAGATTGCTTAGACAAATCTTTTTGTGTGAGACTACGACGTCTACAACTTCTCTGATCGACCTGCACAACATATACGGATCCTCTCCATCCTTGTATTCATTACAATTAGAACATCCTCCACTATTTACAAAACAAGGAACAAAATGGTCTCGTTTTGTTCCTTTGGTTGAAAAAAGAAGTCCAAACATAATTGATCTTGACCCATAAGGTATTAGTGTATGTTCACATACAATTAAGATCACATTTCTCCAAGTCTTAGGGATTGATGAACCATTTTAGACGATCTTTTCTCATTTTACTTTTTGAGTGTGCTACTTGCACCTTCAATAAATATAACCATTTCTAATCTTGTATGTGTGGACCCTTTTTTTTTCTTTTTTTCTTTTTTTTATGTGTGGACCCACCTCTATCTTCAAGTAAATATTTTTGATGCCCCAAAAGAATGGTCTAGTGATTGATGCATCAATGTTACAACACCGGAGAACCTATATTCGAACCAACTACAACACTTGGTGTGCGCCCATCTACTCCACCCTTAGTAGAAAAGATTAACTTGACATGTTCTTGTAGGCTGCATAGGCTAATCGATGAGTTAATTGAGGGGTGTGCAAGTCAGTCCTAACTCCCAACTATGGCATTTATCTTGTGAATATATTGATCCTTAGCAACCCAACATACAATCCCATATAATATTGTTGATCTCACAAGCATAATAAAAACTTTACGTTCACTCAGATAGGTATTTTTCCATCGCATAACACTACTGTAGCAATCCTCCATTTTAGACATCCCATTTTGACTTATATGGACATGTTTATCTATCATATCGTTCTCATGAAATACTGAACCTATATATCTAAATTGTCTGCAGTTAGGCATCACATCGCATTCTAATCTCACTTCACCATTCCAATCAATTACATTGTATAATAACCTATTATTTATGTGGGATAACAACACCTAGACAGATCTGTAGCCCTAGAAAAAGATCTAAGCAATATCTCCTCCCTAGTAAGCCCCATCCTCACGAAAACTGCATACACTATGGATCCATTTTAGAGAAACTGTATTATTACTCCACGTAACTAGTAATCTTAATTTTCAAAATTGTAGCTTTCCAGAATCTCCGAAACTCTCAAAGGCAATTGGTTAAAGGATTGCAAATGTCCAAAATCCAATCACTAGTTTACTGTAAGATGTACTATCTGGTACATCAAAGGATCTGCATGAAAGATATCCCTTCTCCTCCTACTCCTTCGTTGAATTAAGTGAAATTCACTATTACTTGATTAATCTAAAGAAACAGTAATACTTCGCTCAAAACAACATGCACACACAGATTACTAATTTATTGACTGTACCTCTGCAATTTGGGTTACCTTTGTCAATATATGTAAGATGATTTAATGGCTAGAATCAGACTATCAGGGGACCAAATTCTTCACAAAATTTCTCACAAATTAGGGAAAAGGGATTTGAACCAATTAGCACCCGAAAAAGTGTGTACCTATTCTGTCTCATGCGTTGAGGTTGTCTAGTTGTTGGAGCTGCACATGTCTCTTGAGAAGTAACAACTTCTCCACCTTCTACAGCAGAAGCAAAAGATGGTGCTGCAGATAAGATGGAAAAATAAGACTGGAGTATAACCAGAAGTAGTGAAGCCAAAAGGAATAAATTCAAAGCTTAAAGTAAATACCTGCTGTCGAGCAATACTCAATCTCACTTGGACCAGCAATACTACTGGAAGAACTAAGCTCTCTTCGTTTATGCATTTTCTCTTCATCGTCCTGCAGCTCCTGCTGTCTCATCCTTATTTTGGCTTCTATTACTCGTTGTTCCTCCTAAAGTAACAACAAGACGGATAGAAAAGGATACAGATATCCTAAATTCAGTATAAGACTCCTTAAAGCAACATGTAATTGTATTCAAGCAATCACACAAAGAAAATAGAACAGTCGATAAGATCTTACAATTTGCTCTATCCCTTTCTCTTCCTTCGTTTTTACCCCACGATATTCCACCGCATAGTTTGAAGTTTTACAAAATGGGCATCTTAGAACGTTAAGGTAGGCAACACAGAGCAAGAATATTAATAGAGGGGAAGAAGATGGGTGAAATATATTTAGCAATAAGTAACCAGTAACCACTAATGAGGGAAATCAAGGATACTGTGTTGGACGGGTTGAATTGGGAGTCTTCATCTGCAAAAAACACTCTGTCGCCAGGAAACAAGTCAGAAACTCATTCAGAAAATGGAACTTATTATCACATCAAACAGTAGAACCATAATAAGCACATGTAATTACAAAACAGGGATAATAAATACCTGTACAAATGCCTTTCATGCAACATCTTGAACGGTTTAAACTTGGATAATACTGCAAAGTTCAATATGAACAAAGTTAACAATTATAAATAGCATGTCAGTAAACATCTTGTCCCAATTCTTTCAAATTCTATCCTAGTCCAACATGAATCAGGAGTCAGGACAAGCAATGAAACAACTACAAGAACTACTACTTTCTTTTTTATTTTTTTGATAACCAAGAAATCCGTCTGTGACCCACCCTTTGGACCAATCACAGCCTTCTAAACTCAGTGGATAATGGGCCCGCCCCTCTACCCTTCTCCACTTCAATACCAGGCTTCACTTTGCATGGTGTAGGGCTTGAACCTGCGACCTAAGCCACAAATCCTCCACTTTTTGCCACTTGATCTAGGCCTTGGGGGCTACTACATTCTTTTATCACGATGGTATCTAGGCCAGCTTGGACGCACCTCGACGATTCCACCAGGTACCTACTACCTCTCACCAGCACAAGCACAATACTGGGCAACTCTACCAATCACCTAGTGTTTTTTGCCTCCGAGATTTGTACATGAGACCTCACGGTTCTCCTCCCACTTCAATGACAAACATGTTTGTAAGCACATCGTCCCAATTCTTTCAAATTCTATCCTAGTCCAACATGACTCAGGAGTCAGGACAAACAACAACAACAAAACTACTACATTCTTTTATCATGGCGATATCCAAGACAGCTCGGGCGCACCTCCACCTCCCACCAGCACAAGCACAAGTATTGGGTAACTCTACCAATCACCTAGTGTTTTTTGCCTCCAGAATTTGAACATGAGAACTACGATTCTCCACACACTTCAATGACCATTAGACCACACCCAATACTACATTCTCAATCCCAAACTAGTTGAGGTCTGGCTATATGAATCATGCTATGCTCTATTCAGACCAGTTACATTTCAATGACTCAGGACAAACATATGCAAAAAAACATTTCCAACTTCAATAATGTGAAAAAAAAAACAAAAAGGAGAGAAAACTAACCAAGAAGCAAATGGGGCATTCCTCAAGGTCAGCATTGGGACAATCATCATCACCAGGGTAGCAAGGAGCAAGCTTGGAATCAAGAATGAGTTTTCGAAGCTTCTTAATATCCACATCCTTATGCTGGTACAACCCCTGAGGCCTAGTGTACTTATCATCCACCACTTGCTTCCTCCTTCCCAACTTATTACCCATTCAAAATAAATTCCCCCAAAAACAAACCAAAAAAAAAAACAGCAAAGAAACAAGAATCTCCTAGCCCTAATTTTCACATCTCAAAATACAAAACTTCCCCACCATAAAAAACATGAAATTTCAACAACATAAATTCACCCATCCTGCAAAATAAAAAATACCCAATTCAAATTTTCACAAAATAGAAACAATAATTACGTAAAAATTTAATCTTTAACCAAAAAAACAAAAAAAAAAAAAAAAACCCACCTGAGGAAGAAGGCAATGGGAGAAAAGAGAGAGAAGGAGGGAACAAGATCAGAAGTTTCTTCTCTGTATACAAAAATTTGTAGTGTGTGTTTCGATATCTGATTTACACGTATATTATTGTACAATTTTTATATATAAATAAAAAAAAATAGTACTTTCTTTAAGAACTATATAAATTTTTTATATATATTTTATTCTCTTAATATAAATAGATGGAATTATTTGTATCTTTTAGAAGCTTGCGAATAGCAGGGAATGAGATAAGCAATCCGCAAAGCAAAGCACCGTATGAGAGAAAGAGTAGTACAGCCGGAAAGAATCCACCCCACCCACCCACCCACCTTGACCCCGTAGGGGTTAGAGGAGGTAGGGTAAGTTGATGATATTTTTTGTCAAATTATTAGTATAAGTTTTTGTTTTACTAAGTCAAATTATTATAAGTTTATTATATTCAATTAGATTAATGCAGATTCATATCAGGTAAAGTTTGTTGTCATTAAGCTCGTGTAATTTGTTCTTTCGATTCAGGCCATGTTATGCACTAAAAATATATATATATATATATATCATGTGAACTTGAGTTATGTCTTATAAAGTTATAGTTCAATACAATATTCGATCAAAATATCACGTGGACCTTACTTTTAGAAGCTTGGTCGATCTTACTTGACTTGTTCTTATCAGGTTGGTCTTCTTAAGAAATGTCACACTTATAAAGGGGAAAGTACTTTGTATTGTTAAGTTTTTCCAATCACATAGTTCAACATTAAAATTTATGATTAACGGGAAATGCAAGGAGCATTATCGGTCTTTTTTGTCTCGCTTGCTATTGAGAAGAGAGAATTGCTGTCATTCTTCACTTCGTTCGAGAATTAACGGCACATAAATAAGTTTTTCATTAGGCCTTTCAAGGAGGAAGCGGATTTTTTTCTAAAATTTCAAAAAAAAAAAAGAAATGAAATTATTTTCGTAAGGCAAGAAAGTATGGTGGCACAATTGACTTTTTCCCTCTCCTTTCTAAGAAAAAATTTCATTCATCCCATTATAATACGTGATAATCAAATTTTCTAGTATTAGTCTCTTATAATAAGTTGGTCCACCATTAATCTGCTTATTCTGCCATGTAATTAACATGAACTTTCAATATTTAACACCTTTTAAAAATATATAGTATATATTAAAAGTCATGTAGACGCATTTGAATTTTATTTTATTTTTTTGTTATACACGCTAAAACTCTTCAAATTTATATTACATTCACGCATAATAAAATCAGTGTAATGATATCCCCAATTAACTTCTTCTTTTTTTTGTTTAACTCATTTAATTTGTGGAAGCTTCAAAATATAATACACATCGTAATTAAAATATTATCTCATTATCTTTAATGGAAAATTAACTTATATTGTAAAAAATAAATAACCATTAACAACTCAAAAACAATAAAAAATAAAGGAATCATACTGTTTTCATATTTAACTTTGCATGCACGTTAATTCAGATATAACCTGTGTCATCTTCCATTGAACAATTAATATTCAAATATTGTTAATTGTCCTTGTCAAATATAAATTTATAACGTGGAAGCAAACGAAAAAACAAAGACACACACATTCTATATTGTTCGTATCAAGCAATATCTTGTCAAACTTCATTATATTAATACCAACATATATCTGAAAATTTTATAATATTTTTAGTAAGGTATTATATATATTATTTTAAAAAAGAAATATATTAATATTTGAAATTTACTGTGTGCATAATATTATTGATCGATAGTATATTATTACTCAACATTTGATTATAATTGTTAGAGAGGAGTAATCCTAAAAATAAATATCACTGTTGTTATAAGTAAAATAATATTATAGAAAAGTAAATATAACGAAAATCAAATTTTGAAGGAAATTAGGTCATTATTGCCGTAAAATGTTATTATAATGATTAATGAATCTTGTTATAACGAGATTTGATTGTGTATAATATATGTATTAGTAAAGCCCCTTAATTTGGAGGTCAGGAAATTTGGAATTATTAACAAATCTTGTCGTATTAGCTGGAAAAATAATGTGGCCCAACAAAACAGCGACACGTTTTCAAAAAAGCCTTAAAAAATCCAGAATTCTTGTGTTTATGGGGGCCATAAAATTGTTGCTTTTGGGGGTCAACACTTTTGTAGTATTATTATGAAATTGGACCACACTATTATACTATTAAGAACACAAATTTGGTTGACCAAGAATCTTGATTTTGTGATTTATATTAGCTAGGGATTTGATTTTCCTAATTACATTTTTTTTTTCCTATTCTGCATTAATTTTAAGAAATCTCGAAATAACTTATTCCTTCTGTATAATTTAAATCGTTAAAGTAACTCAATGATATCTAATCTTTATTTGTTTTGTTGTTAATTTGTTTACCATTTTGTCTAATGGAACCTAACCATAATTAACAACCTTCTAATGCACTTTGCTTTTTAATTTGATAAAAAAGTTCATTAAATTGGGGACTACTCATAAGTACAAAATTAATTAATGATGACCTAAATATTATCCAAAGTAGTTCAACTCCCTTGTTGGAAATACTTACGATAGTGAATTAGTGAGGACCATATTTAGGTATTTGGCGCTATATTAATTTGCTTTTCTCAACTGCCAAATTAAAATGACCTAGGAAATTTTTTAAAATCAAGCTACTTTGAACTAATATTATTACCTTATCACTTCATAAGTATGTAACTATAAGACTCATATCGAGCTTGCCCCTTTTTTTAGGCACAAGAATGCGAGAATCAATCCAAATAATAAATCGTTTTTTCTAAAAGTTGCCTCAAGCAAACGATCTAATCCTATCGCCAAAAAGTCGCTGATATAGCGCAAGAATGCTCACAATTTTTTTCTTACTCTTTCACTTTCTGATCCGGCTCGCTCCCGACTTTATAAAACAATATTTTAATAAACTCAAAATTTTGAACCAATTATTGTACAGTAGTTGATAGCCAAAGGTTCACCAAATTCGTCTTGTCTGTATTATGTTGGTTCTATTTTATTTAGTCAAAACAACTATATATCTGATAGACTGCTACTGTATATAGTACAAATTATGAATCTATATAGGATGACAAGTTGGATACTTAAAATATAATTGTTCAAGAGTCACATGATGAAGTCATCGGATATAATTAAATGCAATCCCATATGTGAGATTCGAGCAGAGTGGTGTGTATGCAGATTTTATCTCTATCTTATGAAGATAGAGAGATTGTTTTTGATAGATTCCAATTCAAATAGTAGAATATAATATGAAAGACGCAGATTCAAAAAGGAGATACAATAATGAAGAAAGCACGAAGAAAATAAAGGGAAAAAAACAAAAATAGCAACACAAATTCTACTACAAATGAAATAACAAGGTAACAATAAGTGAAGAATAAGATAGTACGAGAGTAATAATAATAATAGTTATAAGGAACTACACAATATTGATAGACCTTACTAATCTTCTACCTAACCCTTGACCTCCATATCCTCCTATCTAATGTTATATTGTACTTATTAAGTTGTAGGTGTGCGGTGACTAAATCTAATTACTTCTCATAAATACTTCTTCGGCCTGTCTCTACCTCTCCTTAGACCTGCCATATACAACATGTCACACTTCCTTATTGAGGCATTTGTGCATCTCCTATTTTCATGTAAAATATATTTTGATATATCTTTAGTTTAAGTCACAAATTTCAAAATGTTTTTATTTAGTAAATTAAAACGGAGGAAGTAGTAGATGTTGGATAAATAGATGGTTCATATTACTAGCTCTCTTTGGTCCAGACACGAAACTAATATATATATAATAATTTTTTTTAATTCAATATTTGATATCAACATTGAACTCAACTAATTTAAATTGACGCGGAATTTTTTTACCTTATGAAATAAAATACTTTGTACTAAAAACAATTTTATAACCAAATAGCTTATGAACTGAATCAAAGATTCAGACAAAAACAATGAATAATTTGGGCCTGAGTGTTACGATCTTCTGGGCCTGGGCTAATGGATATATGGGCCTTGATCTATTGATTTACGTAAATGTCCTATTTTAGCTTACTATTTAAATTTAGTCTCTATTTCTAGAAATTCAATATAACCTTTGAGACTAATAAAATATTAGACTTTCATCTAATTAACGTCTATAAACTTTTTAGATCATGATTATCTTTTTCATAAAATTTTCAGTTTTGCTCAAAATTGATTTTTTATCAGGGTTTTAAAAATATTTAAATTCTAAGAGATATAAAAAGAGTGTCATTTAATAAGTAGCTATCCAAAAAGGATAATCATACGGCTGATTTACACAAATATACCTTTTTAGACTACCATTTAAATTTTGTCCATGTTTTAAAAAAAATGTTTGTGCAAACTAACCTTTGAAAAATTACTCTCACAAATAATATTAGATTCGCATCCAATATTTGCTCTATCTCTTTTTAATTTTACGAAAAAAAACATTAGTCTATCATCTAAGTTTGAATATCTTATAAAATTTTAGTCCATTAAAAGAAATAGGTTTGACAATGGGCTGGAAAAATTTAACTCTTGACTTGTATCATGTCCATATGAAAATGAAAGAATATGAACATTAATTTGTTCGAAATTATAAAAATAAAGTTTTGCTAGTTACATAGATTATTTTTTTTTTTTAAAAAAACCTATAATTAATTAAAATCATTGTATAAAAGTTATTTACTAGATGCATAGTATGTCCCAAAATATTGCCGCTTTAAAAACTTAAGACAAAATTAATTAATTAATTATTTTTTTTATCTTTGCTATTAAAAACGTCAAAAGCGATTAGTACTATAATTCTCACTTTTCAATAGTGGTATTTATTCTATTTCAATCAATATTCTTTTACTTTCTTTTTTTAATCCATTTCAAAAAAGATTACATCTTTTTATATCTGGTAACTTTATAAATCCAACATTTTACGTGACTAGTTTAATATACTACAATATTAAAAAACATTTGAATACATTACACATTTTTTCAACTTAAGACTACCTGATAAAAAAAAAAAATTCCTCATTTTCTTGAACTCCATATATAATCAAACTATAAAACAATAATTATCAAGACTTGGTAAGGGCATTTTAGTAAATTGTGCAGAATCCCCTCATCCATTCGTGCTAAGAAATTGAAAGATAAACCTCAAAAACAGAAAAAATGATGAAAAGGAAGAAAGAGACGTTAAAAAATATAGAAACTGCTTTCAAAATAAATATTGAACTTTTTTTCCCTCATTTTCTAATTGAAACTGCCAATACATTAACCAACACTTAAAGTGGCATGAAGAGAGCTAGTAACTCTAAACTAGAAAATCAAAAGTAAAAATCCAGAAAATTAGAGAAGAATAATTAATAAATTAAAGAATGGTATAAGCGTTTTAATACATCATGTATAATCCAAACTTCAAAATAAAAGTTCATCTAAAACAAAGAATGAATCAAATGATAGTAGAAGTGCATGCTTTAATAATTCGTAACGTAATTCAAATACATACATACGTCACTTGAATCGAGAATCTGTTAAACAATTTCTCTTGAACTCTACATATTGAATTATACTGAATATGTTATTGTTGTATTTCGTCTGAATAAAGACGAAGAAGATCATCTAAAGTAGGCAACTCCTTGAACAACTTGTCAAATTCGTTAAATGACTTCAATCTCCCCAAACTCGGTCCGACATTCTGATCTTCCCAATAATTACTACTACCGTGGCCGCATCCGTTATACGGAGCTGCCACGGGTAGTGGCGGTGGAGGAGTGAAAGCTGACTCCACCGCCACGGTGGAATTCTTGCCGGTCAGTTTCTGAACGACCGATTTGAAACTGCTGGCATCTGTTTCTATGTATTGTGTGTTGATTATCACTATCTTTACTGGAATATTTGACATTTTTTTTTCTTCTTTAAATTGGAAAATGAATGATTTTTTAAAATTATTCTTTTTTGCTGTTGTTTGTCTGAGTTTAAAAGATAAGAAGTGTGTGTATATTTATAGAGGGAAAAAAAAGGACTTGGAAGTTTGTACGGCAAACAATTGAAGTGTTTTTATTTATTTATTTAATTTAGTAGTTTTGACATTTAAGAAATTGGCGTCATTAAGGAAGAGTTGACCGTTATGTGCTGTCTGGAAGGACCAGAGATTGAGTCAATTGTCAAAGGCACGCATTTGAGAAAAAATATTTTTTACTATTATTGTTCCACGAAATTGCATCCACTTGATTGGCTTTTGGCAACATGTGATGAATTTTTACCGAGCGTGGATGGTGGTGGGATGGTTGAGACCATTCGATAGTATTTTTTACAGTACTTTATGTAGTTATTTTAAGAAAAATTACGAGAGTTAACAGACATAATACTAGTAAATTTTTCTTAATTTGTTGAAATGGACAAGTAAAAGGATTTCTTTTAATATGAGGGTCTAGTAAAAGGTTTCCTTTTAATACATCTTAAATATATCTGGATAAACGAGATTATAAAAGATATTTGAGTGCATTATGAGACTAAAATTTATCTTATCTAGTAATGAAATGAGAAATATAAAATTTAATTATTTATGATTCTATAAAGATATTACTATTTTCTTAAAAAAAATAAATTTACATCACATGACTTGGAAGTTTGGAATAGTGGGAATAGTAGACCATAATAAAGACTTGGTTATACATTTGATATATTCTATATTTCTATATATCTACTAACAATAAACTAATATATATTCAGGTGTAAAATCAATAAATTTATATTACATCAAAAGGACCTTCACTCTTCTTACTTCATCATTGTCTTTTATTCACACCAAATTTTTCCCTAAATATTTGAAGAAAAAAATATTAAAAAAAGAGTGTTCATACGATTTTGAATTAGTCTTTATTTGCGTACAAAACCTGACGACTGCTGAATGTACTTTAATCTTGACCCATAAATGATAGAACATGTGGTTGTAAACATATACACATCACAAGCACTAAATTATATGACATCGTTTAATTGATGAGATAAAAATAAGAATTTTAAAATATCGTATCTCATATGATTATCTTATCACGTGTTTGATTATGAATATAATTTAATTTTAAAATTTATTTATTCCACCATTTTAGTATAAACGATGAAATATGTTATTTTAGTTGTGACTCTCATAATCAGAAGACTCCAATGATCAATTGCTATAAGCCCTTTGATTTGGGAGGGGAGTTCACCATTGTTGGAATATACAATGTTGGTGTTGTAGTTGTGACTAAGAAAAGCTAACTTGTCAGCCACTTAATTAATCTCCCTATAACAATGTGTTATAGAGGATTCACTTTGATTCAACTATATATTATAAGTAGAATTTAGATATTATTTTATGTGAAATAGAATATAACATATAAGAATGTGAGGCTAGTAATGCATTTACTAATTAATTAAAACTATTACATGACAAAAATAATCCTTTATGTAGAACTAAAATCTTATTTTGTTTAAATAAAATCAGATTCTAAAATATCCATTATATATAGTGGAGTACTTTTTAATGTAACAAATGAAAAAAATTAATGATAAACAATCACTATATTATAATCCCCGCATTATATTCCTTATTATTGATTCATTCATAACTTACTTCTAAACCAAACATCTCTAAATTAAGTCTTCCTTTTTAAATTTTTCCTAAGCTATGATGCGATACGATATATGTTTGGTAAAACCTTTTTTTTCTTGCTATAATTTACACCATCTCATCATGTGTAATATATGTGTTAAGAAATACACTTCTTTCACTTAATTATAATTAATTAATATATTATTTTCAACTCATTAAATATCATTTTACTTAACAATAATCAATTAATATAATTTGACTTATAGTTTGGTGTCAATAATAAAGATACTAAAAGTGGGGTTCTTATAGTACCAAGTTGTGCATGCTGCCAATGGCAACTTGTTTGTTGTCTTTAAAGCTGTTTTTGTAGCTAGGGACATTAAATTATATAAGTTTAATAATTAGACAAATTGAAAGGGTCAATGACTCATGCCATGCTATGTTTCAATATTTCATTTGTGGTGTCAAATAAACACGTTGGACTGAATTTAAGAATAATTATCTTAATCGATATAGAAGCTAAATAGTTAAACAAATAATTTGATTCATGAGATAAGATGAGATATTTTAAAATTAAGTTGAGATTATTAAAATTATACTTAGTTTGATATAAATCACTAATTGTAAAATAAATTTATACCTTAAACTTGATGTTTTTTTTATCCATCCGAGTGATGGAATAAATTAACATGTTTGACAATGATAATTTTTTGCTTGATGTGAAAATTAGCGTTTAGCCATAAAAATTTCAACTTCATGTTATATATTGGAATTTAGAAAACACTCAAAGGCCAAAACATTTTATTTTTTTTACCACATGGGTTTTACAACTTTATTTTCACTTTAATAATTTTTTCTTTCTAAATTTATCCTGAATTTTTCATTTATATAAAAAATAACCCCATTTAAATTATATTTCATGTTTTTTTATAAACAAAATACATTTAATTTTAAATATTTATTGTAAAAAGTATAGCCAAAACACAACTCCAATTTTGAAAATACTAAAAAGCTCTTATTTTCATAGCCAAACGTTCTAGTTTTAGGACTATAATTTCAAAATAACTTTATCCACGAATCAAACAATCCCGACAGTGGGGTACTTAAAGTACCAAGTTGCATGCTGCCAATGGCGACTGGTTTTTTGTGATCTTTAAAAGGCTAGTCGGGCTTGCTATATATATTGACTATTCATAAGTCTTTGACATAAAAAAGGTCAATAATTGTCAACTGTACCTTAAGTCAGTATCTTCACCCAGGGGCGGATCTATCAAGGGGTGTGGTGGTGTCACGCCACCCCCGAACTTCGACGGAAACTCTATACATACATAGGTATATATATATATATATAATATTTATATAAATATAAAGCGTGCCATCCAGAGAATAAAACTGGCTTGTGGTGCCACGGTAGGATGGCAATTTTAGAAGGCTGATGTTGTGGATTCGAATCTCGCACATTTTTTAAGAAAAAAAAGGCTCCAAGCACGTTTTTTTAAGGAAAAACAACTGACACAATTTATTTTATTTTTTATAATTGTTATTGACTTAAATTAAATTAATTACATTATTACTCCTTTGACTTTTCTTTTATTTGATTAAATACTCAATAAAAATGTAATATCTTGTTATTTATATTTTATTGATTGATTTATGATATATATCGAAACGATGAATAATTTAATCAAATATAAAATTAATTTAATCGATAAGTTTATTTGGCATCCACGGACTCTAAATCCTGGATCCGCCACTGTCTCCACCCACCTCAAGTCATTAGTAACTTTTTTTCATGTGTATTATATAAATATATCTTTTAATATGATATCATTTTATATTTACATCTTTTAATTTTAAGTATGCATAAACAGATACTTAACTATTCAACTACTCTGAATAATGAATATATAGTTCCAAAAACCAAAAAGAAAGAAGAAGGAATATAAAAAGAATCATGTTAGTTTCATCTTTGCATAAACCTACGAAAAGTAAATAAATATTTCACTTTATAAAGATGAAAATCAACCCATGTTTTATAAAGGCAAAACTTGGAAGGATCATAGATTGTTTCCAAAATACAAAAGGGTACCATTGGATTCTCCAAAAGAATAGTCAAGAGTTTTGATCAATTATGAATAATTTGACAATCATTAGTCATTAGGGATGACAAACGGGGCAAGGCAGGGTAGGTTTTAAGTTATGTAGGATGGTGTCGCTATCTATCTATCTATTGTAATTCACCTTGTGTCATTCTATTAGAGGAAATTCATTGAATTGTGAAATTACTACGTACACACCTGGTCATATCGAGGATATAAAAATGAAATTACCCTTTATAAAAAGATGAATTTAAAATCAAAATTATTACTATACGAAATGAAATGAAGCAAGAATGGATTAAAGTCTTCACAGATTTATGCAATTTTTGCCCTGTCCCACACCGTCTTTATCATCCCTATTAGTCAAAAAAAATGTCCATTAATTAACAACACATAAAAGTCTTGATAGGGCCTACAAGACCCTAAACACCCTTTCTTTGTAATTTCTTATAATTAATTAATTACATAGACATTTACATTGTAGCAATTTTGTCACCAATCATTTCTTGTACGACAAAATCTCCAACACTGTAGGGGCGCAAAATGTTGTGATATTTTCTACTTTTTGTGGTCAACCAAACACTATTTATTTAATATTTCATACTATAAAGTATTTTTCTATTTTTTTTAAAAAAATATAGTAGTATTTTAGTTCAGTGTATTAATTTTATAACTTAACAATGATATATGTTGGAATAGAAGATGATATTTTTTGGAATATATTTGTTTACTTTTCAGTTTTCTCATATTTAATTTATCAAAAAAATATTCTAATAACTTTCTTAAAATTTAAAAATCGATTTCTATGATGAAAGAAATAAAATTAAGTTACATAAGTGATAATTTAGGATGATTGTCTTCACCCACCCTAACACAGCCACCTCACCTCACCCCATTGTTCGTCCCTCATACCTTAGGTCCCAGCCCTACCCCCACCCACCTGATCAACCACCACCCCATCATATCAAAAGAGGATTCATAATTTTATTATGGATTCACGTGAACTCAATAACTTTCGTACTTCTAATCAATTTTTAGATTTTTCCCAGATATGCGATTATGATTATGTGAACCTCAATTATTATTGTATACGTCAACTTAAAATAGCTATAGAAATTCATAAACTTCAATTCTCGAATTCGCTTCACACCCCATCTCTATAGTGTGTCTATTCTCAAAAAAGTATCTTCAACTTATTTGTCAAATACTAAAAAATAAATATGAAAATCACTTATTTCTCCAAAAAAATATTTTGCTTGACACATTCTCAATGACATGATCTTACACCCTATAGGTCAACATCAATTTTTAGGAAAGAAAAAACACCAAAAAAATATGAATATGCACTTGAAAATGAAACATATAGGACAACATCTTAATTGAAGTTCCTTGCAGACCAAGCAAACCCCTAAGTTTCTAGATTAGGAAAAGTTGACTAACTCCAAATTTATTTAACTTGTTGATCGTCAATGCCAGATTCTATTTCGACGTTAAAAAAAACTCTCATTCGAATCGACATGAAAGTCCAACTTCATTGCCAGTAGTTTCTAGGACTATGTATCATCAATCTACACTAATAAGAGGCTAGAAGTACCAACAAAAGTTGTGGTTAAGATTAAGTACTCATTCATCCGTAAACCCTCAAATACAGAATCACCTAACAGGAGAACTCGTGAATCCAAATTTAGTCAGACTCTGATGTAGGTACCAAACAATAAAATGCCTCTTCCTTAAGGTGTCTGTTTTATTTGATGGTATTTTTAAAGTATTTTGAAATTTTCAATGTCTATAACAAGTGCTTTACATATGTTTTTTCCGCTGATAGTTTGATTCCACGTCAATAAAAGTTCTTTGCCAACAAATTAAATTTGGAGTTACCTGTTACTATAACCAATTATTATTTTAATAATATTAACTTGAGGTTACTATACAAAACAATAAATTTCAAATTCTGGATTAGATCATTTTTGAGAAAAAGAATTTCTTTAAAATGGTTATCAAAGATTGCCTTAAACCAAATACCATCAAGCATCAACCAGCAAGTGCTTAATAAAAGGAAAATATGGAACTACTAAAATGTTGTGACATTTCTGTTAAAAACTTTAAGCTAAAACAGGGTCAACAGTCATTTTCAGTAGTGATAAAGAGTTACCGCGAGCTGAAAGGAAGTGGGAAAGAAAAAGATGGAAATTACTGAAACAGACGTTTGTCTCGTGTTCCCATCGTGACCTCAAGTCTTCCAAGAGGGCTTGCGCTCAACTCTTTCCAGACCTTGATAGCAACAAAGGATTGCCTAATGCATCATGGGACGAGGAACTCGTGGCCTCACAGGTGTCTTTGAAGGACTCACCCTATGGCATTAGCAAAGGTATTAAAGTTAGAAGAGACATTAAACATAAATAGCATAACATACTGTTGGTAAAAGGAAATGCTGGCTAAAGAACGGAGCACCCAGGGGAAGAGGGGAGGGGGTGGGGGTGGACTTAGAAGACGAGACCTTGTGATGCATGTAGCTGAACGAGAGTCAAGTACAACTCAGTAGTGGTAAATTTTGTCAAATGCATAGTGCAAAAAATCAAATATGGTAAAGAGGGTGGGGAAGACATTATGGCTAGTATACGAATGGTAAATTCGATAATCCCTCTCATCCAACAAAGGGCCCCAAACCTTCTTTTCTCCATTTTGTATATGTTAGTTACTCTAATCACTAAAACTTCACAACCGATATTTTCTTGGGATATCAGTGGTGCTCCGTTCAGCTTGCATGCACTTTGCCTATTTCATCATGCCGTATGTCCAGCCCGCAACCACCATTGTCAAGGTTATCTGTCAAGCAGGTGGACTCATACCATGTATTATAGATGGAATTTAAACCTGAATCTCCAGGTTGGTCTATGCGTCAACCACTAGGCCATCCCCATGGGACCTTCACAAGTCACAACCTGATCCTATATAATTACAAGAAACAGTACTTGGACTGACGATCTTAGATTTAGTTTCATATTCTACTCTCAACCTTGTTAAGAAAAGTACTTGAAAGTAGCTATCGATTAACATCTACTCCAATTTGAATTCTTACATGTTCAATTTGACTCTGACAATTGATCAAATTCGATCCTCAATGAGTGAAGGGTCCTTCTTACTGGTGCAAAGGGAGTAATAATTCAGTTGAAATGCTTATATGTGCAAGCCGGCAACTGGGACTGACATATTCTCGAGGCTACAGAACACAAACTCACACTAACCAGGGTGTACAAACACAACAATATTACCTAGACTGAACATGTCCCAACTCCCAAAAATAAATAACTGACTGATACACAATCTAGGATCTGGCATGCACTGACCGTAACTGTAGCATTATTTTTGAGTTTCATTTTCAGATGACAGAAAGGCAGAAAGCAAGCAATGTCATAGTATACATTTGGAGAAAGAGAGAAGAAGCTTTTGCAGTTTAAGGGGAACCTTAGAATGCATGACTATGTTGATTGGTGCCTACTTGGGAGAAAAAAAGAACCTGAGATACCAAGCTTAAAAAGATGCAATACTAATTGGGATCAAAGACACTTCTAACTAAAGTACCTGATGCGTTGGGATCCCAAAATCTGCCCGCAACAGTCCAATGCCAAAATTGCACTCTCAGCCTGCACATTTATCAAGTATCTGTTTACATGCAAAATTTACTATAATTTCAACACCCGTTTAGATCGTCTTCAAAATGAAATATTCAATATTATGCTGCAGCTTTAGATATACCACTGATAATTTATAGGAACTTCCTATGCTCAATGGCGTCTCCAGAGTGATGGTTGGCGCATAAATAACAAGGGAAGGAAGAGAAGTACATTTCAAAGGAATTACAAAAAAAGAAGAAGATGGTACTGACAATAACATGACACAAAACTAAAATAAGGGGGAGTCTTCATCTAGTGACATTAGAATCTATAGGTGTGTGTAAAGTACCTATTGATGCTACATCCCAACTTAAATCCAAAGAAAAAGAAAAAAGAAAATCAACGTACCATAACAAATTCAACAAAAGCAATACGGGTAGAGTGCACTTGATCCCCCAAAAGCCTCAGGCGAGACACCTGCAAAGAGGAGCAGTTTCAGCATCAATTGGGTGAACATTCCTTAAACTTAATAGGGAAAAGGGTCTGAAAAATACTCCAACTTTGGCCGAAATTGTTGTAACAATACCGAACTTTGGAAAGGACCTTTTACCCCTCTGCACTATTCAATAGTGTATTTTAAAGGTATATATGTGCCCACGTGGACACATTACTATTTATAATGATGTAATATTTATGATGTTCACGTGGGCACATATATACCTTTAAAATACACACTATTAAATAGTGCAGGGGTAAAAGGTCCTTTCCAAAGTTCGGTATTGTTACAATAATTTCGGTCAAAGTTCGGATATATTTCAGACCCTTTTCCCAACTTAATACATGAGAAGTTTCAGACATCACACTGACCTCACCACATCTTGTTTCAAAGAAATTCTTTACATCAGCTTGAGAAAGCTGTTCAGGATAGAGTACAATACATTAAACTTTCAGATGATTATGAAAATAAAAGGTAACCTGAGCCAGATCATTATAACCTGTGCATCACACACCGGTAATCCCACAGAAAGTTGTATTAAAAAGCATGCAATAACTTCAGAAGATTTCCAAGGCGAGAATTTATACCTTCTTGTCAATATTTGTGCAGTAGACTGTCCTGGCACACATCTCACGCTCATCCTCAGACTGCACATAGCATGTACACATAATGGAAAACAAAGCATTTAGTTCCATGACCTTACTTCTATAAGATGAGATAGAACCACAAGAAAATTATTTTTACATATGATCCATAAACAAGTAAATAAAATGACACAGATCTGTGCATACCCTAGGAAGGAATGTAGGATTCACGGGTAGAATAGCAGTTTTTGATGGTAGGACCTTCAGAGGAGAGAACCCTAATATTGTCCCACAAAGGCAAAGTGAGGCTCTTGCTGAGTCTGTTAGAATGATTCCACATGACAAGTTAGTTTTGACTTTTGAATGTTCAGGTACTAATCAAAACTTCAAGCCCCTCCAACTTACATTCATCGGCGAATTCCACAAAGGCAAAGCGAAGGCGAGAGTGGGGATCACCACAAACTCTGCAGTCAACAACCTATGGAGCAAGTGTAGCCAAAAGAAAACACACCAATATTAGACTGTTTTTTTTAATTATAGAAAGACCACTATTACACTCCTCAATAGATACCCCATAAAATTTTCACCAAAGCAACAACAACATACCCAGTGTAATTACACAACAATTTTCACCAAAAACACAAATATGAATTAATGTCAGTCTAGTTTGAGAATGAAATGAGGATAAAGAACAATTCAATTGTGTCAAAATGGCATGAAACTTAACAAATGAAGAGGAAACTAGTCCAACTATGTCAAACAGAAACATAAGCATCGTGACTCACCAACACCTCGCAGACTGACAACAAGCAACTCAATCTAGCTTTCCAAGTTTCATACAAACCAAACTTTTTGTTGGACAGTCCCATAAACAGTAAAAATAGTTGTATGGCATATCAGTATCTTTGAAAAGACAAACCATGAAATGGATAATGGTTTTGCAGGGCAATAATCATAAGCCAACCATATTACACAGTAAAACAAACAATAACCAAAGTGTAAAGAAGCTCTTCAATTGATGATGCAAGTTAGGAGACAAAAGTAAAGTATAGAAGTATATTAATTCAAACAGTCTTTAACCAGAATAAGCATCAGCACACATCGCTAGTGCGTAAAAGACAGTTAAAGCACGTTACTATGACACTAAAGTGTAAGAAAAAGAAAGAAAGAAGAGAGAAATAACAAGCAAAGTAGTGCTCTTTTGAGCTATAGACTTCGTAGTTCAAAATTTCAATACCTACTTGCTTCTGTATAGTGTAACCTTCTTTAGAGTCTTCCTAATATGTTAATTTAAGTAAAAATGTAAGATGTACGTTGAAGATATCCAAAAACTGTAAGCCAAACCGAAAGCACAGAAATTTAAATTCCACTCAGAGATGCAGGATGTAAGTGGAAGAACAATAGGATATGGTACTTTATATATTTTAGAAATACTTTAGGTTCATCTTTACATGCTTCTTAATTAGTAACTGGCTCTCAGATATAGGCAATTTTATTAATTTTCAGGCAGGAGTGATTACATTCTTACAGTAAATATTCATAGTCTACTTCTTATGTCTTTAGTCAAGCAAAGTACAGTTTTTAAAGAAAATTCAAATCCCACTTGTGACTTGTCCTAGAAGTCAAATGATACAAGTGTCCTTGGTGTTCAGGATCAGCCTAGGAGGAATATGAAAGGAGGCAGCTTATATCCGTCTAATGGTAAAGTACTTATAATATGAATCAATCTTTTGTTGTGTTAAAGTTATTAGGTTTTTCTTGCTATGTTGCACGGACTCTCCAAGACTAGTGTTATACGCGTGTGGGATCCTCAAAAAATGAACTACTTTTCAAGGATCCTGTGCACATCGGACTTTTTTTTTGGAGAGTCCAAGCAACATATATAGTTTGCTTGTGCATCTACCAGCTTCACCTTTAGGCCTCTTCTTTCATTGTATCTCCTCATTTCAGCTTTCCTCTTTCCCATGATTGTCGAGAAGTTCTCAGGGGATTAGACTGACAGAAACAACTTTAAGAAGTAGCTACTATTTAACTCTAACTAGCTGACGGAGAATTTGAAGAACTTTGAGCTACCTTTTTTGACACTGAATTGGCATGACCAGAAAATTAATATATAATACCTGAGCCTAGGCAACATTAACTTTGAGATACCCTTTTTGACTCTCAATGGAGATTGACAAGAAAATAAGTACCTCGGCCTGGTCAATATTTCAGAATATTACGCACAATGTCATTCTACTAGTACCACAGCCAAGAGATAGAAAGAACACTCACCCCTCTACCAAAGATAGCAAAAGGTATGTTTGCTGCATGTCATCAGTAATTTGAAGCCAGCTCCTCTAGGCATCAATATGTCAATGATCAAGATATTTCAACGATACTAATGTCTTAAGCAACCTGACAATTAATGCTAATCATAGCTCGTAAGTCGTAATATTAGACAGTCTAAAGGTTATTGCTTATTTGCAGGTCATGGAATTTCATCATCCTATACAATGCAGATAAAGCAACAAACTTGGACTTGAGGCCTAAAATATGGAGTAAAACTAAAATATGGAGTAAAACACATGCTATAGGCACCCATCTGCTTCAGCATGACACTTAGCGCATTAATTGTTTTTAGGTTTCTCAATTATTAATTGAAAGAAGCGCCACCTTGCACTTAAAGCACTCAAGTATCTAATATAATGAATCACAACAATGTCCAGAAGAGCATCGTCACTTACTTGTCCATAAGCGCTAAATAATGCAGCAAGACGCTCTTCTGTTATCTGTGGTGATGCAAAGTAAAAAAGAGGAACATTGTAAATACAAAATTCAGAACATAAAACAAATATAAATGGGCGTCCATCCTCACTTACATTGTGATCGATGTCAGAAACATATACTGTTCTCCTAATGCTATCTTCTCTTTGAGTCTTAAAAGCTCTATTGTTCATTCTTCTTCTTCCCTGGTTGTGGTTGTTACCTCTCTGCAGACACATTAGTGATAAAATTAGGGAGGAGTCAGCTTGCTGAATTGAGCAGTAGAAATCACTTCAAAATGGCGAAATGCAATGCCCAATCCACCAGGGTATTTGGTAAATTGTGGTAATTATGATCTGAAACGCGATCCTCAAATTGATAAGTATGGAAGGTTGAACTTTTCTCTTTATAAAAGAAAATAAACATCATGACCATGCGAAACTTTTAATGAGGATAAGATTTGAAACTAAGGTAGAATTGTTCCTTTGGTGAATTGCGCATCACGGATGCAAAGCGTGAAATCAGCTTCTACGGCCTCTTTGCAGAGGTGCAATGGAAAGATGCTTAAAACATCAGCAAGCCCCTTCCGGACCAAACCTTTTAATCCAATTCATACAAAATGACAAATATATTCCCTAATATCTGGTGCGCATACAGAAAAAGGTTTGATCTGAGTACTGCTCAAACCACCAAATTTAATGAAAATGTACCACTCACAAGTGGACATTTGGATCAAAACGACAAATTCCATCCCGTTCACAACAATGGAAAAAAACGTTTTTTCATTTTTACCAGCTAAGCATCCACAACAATCCTATTAAACAAAAGTCACTAATACCAATAACTAACTCAATGTCAAAATTCTGTTTTTGACTAACGGAATGTCAGCAATTAATTACTAAAGGAAGAGTCAAGAATCAATTTTGACAAGAAAGCTTCAGAATGCAAAAGTCCCTCTAACTGTGAAATCCAGCTACTACATTCATTCAAACTACCCTTGATAAATGATCAACGACCCAAAGCATGAAACTTTTCACAACAACTTATTTGACAGACTGATTACCAAATATCACACAGGATTAATGATACTTCCACATACATCCCAATATTTGAATCTCCAAGAATCAATTTTTACCAAGAAAAAATGATGAGACTTTCAACCAAAATCGTTACGACAGCTACATTCCCCATAATTCAAACAAGTATACCACTAATTAATGGATGCACATACGACCTCATAAAAACCTTAAAACTAAAGGAAAATAAAGATGAGTAAAAAGGGGCAGCCTAGTGCACTAAGCTCCCGCTATGCACACGTCCAAAGAAGGCCGGACCACAAAGGTCTATGCAACCTACCCAGCGAAACTGCAAACTGGAAAAGCACTTCCAATATATCAGAATTTCGATTTTATCAAGTGAAATCAAAGAACTAATAATTGCCCAAGTCATGAATCAATCAACCAAATACAATAAACAACAAAATAGAAGTCCAAAACAACTGTTCAATCAATTTAACTCAGAACAACAGAAACAATACCTTTCCATTGTTCTGAAAAGCATCACCTCCCACAGTCTTAATAACAGGCACAAAATTATTCAGAAACATCTGTTCGCGATTATAATAAGAAGGAACAAACTCCTTTGCCAGAGGATTCAACTTGAGTTTCTTCAACATGTCAACAATATCTTGCATTTTGTAATCAGATTTAACATCCGAACAATCCTTCCCACCATTAACTACAGATTCAGAATTCACATTTTTCTCAGAATTGAACTCAGATTCTTCCGAACCCACATCAGAAAATTTTGTATCATCAGTGTTTGATAACAGTGATTGAACAGCCGGAGCCTCAATCACTGCCGTCTCACCACATACTTGTGCATCAGCCGCCATGGAAATGCACAAAATATATATAAAAAAACTCAAATTTTACAGAAAACAATATAAACCCAGAATTGTATGATTACAATAATTGAAAAAGGGTAATCAAAAGTTCCAGTTTTTATTTATTTTGATTCGAGATTTAGATGATCGGCGAAATGTAATAGCGAAAACCGACTGAAAGTTTGTTTTATATATAGAAAAAAGGGTCAGAAATGGAATGAAAGTAGAGAATGGTGATGAAAGAGAGAGAAGCTTTTAAGGGTTTTTGTTAACAAAATTCGATCAGAGAGAGACTGTTGGAAGGTGATTTTATGGAAATTTCTAGAAGGTAACTTTGGGTTTTGGCCTTTAGCTAAACATTGTTTTCCCTGTCGTTTTGAAGAGAGATGAGACTACTATACGAGTCCGACTCGGAATTTGAAGTTTATGAAATTTGGAATTTTAGTACTCGTTTGGTCCGGGGATATAGAATAACTAATTTTGAAATTAATTTTAAGATGACTTTATTTATATTTGATAGGATAAAATAATTGAATAATTTATTGCGAAATTAGTTATTTAGTAATTATAGTATTAATTTTATTAACACTTTTGAAAATAATGAATTCCAAAATACTTAATTTATTACTCTCCTCTATTCCATATTTAACTAAATTTGTAAGTCAATATGCACATATTAATTCAAACAATAATTTTCGCTATTGCCTCTATTGTGAAACATAAATATAACTTTGTAATTTATCTTTTAGAAAACATAAAACTTCAATAAATGAAAAAGGCAAATATGAAAAAAAACAATTCAAATATCTATCTTGAACTTTGAACAATTTAATTATTTTGAACAAAGAAAAAAATCTCAAAAATTCACTTAATATAGAATAGAGGAAGTATCAACCAAACGAGCTCTTAAAGTTATTCAACACGTAATTTAAGAGCTAGCTTTGCCTCTATTTTTTCTTTTTAGTTTTCCACGGCTTGCATTAGAGCCCCAACTAAATTTAGATTGCACACTCCAAAGTCCATTTAAAGGTATGTTGCTCCCACCAAAATTTTCTCTATACTCATTACTTAAATCTGAACTCTCTGACTAAGGGTGAAGTTGTCCGCTTATTACTACATAATACTAAAATATATAGTATTATTTTTCATTTGATATTAAAAATATGCAATGACAATAAAAATTAGAAGTGAAAGTGGACTATTTACATTTATCAAATAACAAGAGTATATATAGCACATCTATCTCCCTTATTTAAAATAAAAAAGTATTTATTAAAATTAACAAAAGTTAATATTAGATATATTTAGAGGAAAATAATAAATATGTTGATTTTTTTGACAAATGAAGATTGCAAATATTTTTTTTAAAATACAGCTAAGGCAAGAATGAGTCTGCCTTTGTTTTTGTTAGTTTGTGAGGTATTTTGGATATGCAATTCATATGATTCATAACTGCCTCTTTAATGTTTATTGGGATGGTAACTTTTCCTTTGTACCTTTTATTATTTTAAATTATCAGATTTCTTAATGTTCTTTTTTTTAGTATATAGTTGTGACATTATTTTTATGTTTTTAATATCACAAGTTGTTTGTCTAGTTCTCTTGGTGATGCTGCACAGAATGGAGAGCGTGATGATTGGAAATTTCCTTTTTTTAGTACATAAATACAAGGGATGCTCAATCTAATCATGGGTAAAGTCAAAAATAAATTGAAGGTGTTGAATTTTTTATTTGTATATTTAAAGTCTATTTTCTAATTATTTTTAAGATACAAAATTGTTTGAATTTTTAAACTTATTTTTGAGATGCAATTTTTTTTAATAAAATAAATTTATCTTTTCTATAAATTGTACTCATCTGTTTAATATGTTGTGCAATTTTGACTTGATAGAAAATTTAAAAAGTAAAGAAGATTTATATATATATATATATATATATATATAATCTTGTAATCTTAAATATGTTATGTGGAAAGTTAAATTCAAAATTGACAAAAAAGAAAAAAACACTCTTTAAAGTTTCGAGATAAACTAGAAAAAAAAAGGAAGATAAATAAATTAATAAACACAGTTTTATTTTTATTTTTTAAAAAACATATAATTATTTTGTTATTACTGAAAAATGTCCATCAAATTTGGAAGTCTAAGGTAGGTGCTTCATTTTTAATGACACTGAGCCATCCGTGCATAGATAAAGAACAAAGTAAAAATAGATTATTTTTCTCAAAATTGGAAATATATAAATTTCTTTATATATATCAGAAATTATTAATATAGAGTATATATTTCTATATCATATAAACACAATTAATTTCAGAAAGTACTCATAACCATCAACTTTCCACTAATATTGTACATATTACATGTATCTCGACTAATGCAATATAATACTTGCCACCTTCTTTCATATGAGTCTGTTCTTTCTTTTAATCTACTATAAAGGTTCTAGAACTTAATTTAGCGGCTCTTTCCAAAAGGCGTGACTGCATCCCAAAGAATCGATCTTTCTTTTCGTTGTTGAATCTCTCTTTGATTAATCAAACTTTCCACATCAATATATTCATTACATGTAATCTCGATTAATTTCATATATATGGTATTTACTACTTGTATATCTAATTAACCTACAACTTTCCACATTACCATATTCATTACATGTAATTTCGACTAATTTCATATATATGATATTAGCTACTTGTTATCTGTCACTATTAACTTAACACGAGGTCACATCAATATATTCATTACATGTAATCTCAACTAATCTTTTCATATCAACATATTCATTACATGTAATATTGACTAATTTCATATATATGGTATTTGCTACTTGTTATCTGTCACTATTGTATATCTAATTAACTTAACACTAGGTACTAGTTATCTCCTATTTTCCACAAATAGGGATACCAATAATTCAATCCAACTTGAATAGAGGGAAAGAAATTAGTTGGCTAGGGCCAAGTAGATTGAACAACAAATATTGTTTTTAGGGTAAAAAGTCTAACTTTTTTGATCTACTAAAGATGTGGGAGCACATGATTCACATGATCTTTAGTTAATTTTGTTTTCAATTGATCTATCAGAATATAAACAAAATCTTTTTTGTCTTAAAAAAGAAGTCGTCTTTGAGCTACAAATGAAATTAAATAATATTGCAAATTTGTTGTCAAATTTGAACCTTAGAATAATAAATTTCATTTACTTATTTTTTTTTTGTTGTCAATTATTATCTAGGTATTATAATTAATATTCGATATATAGTAAAAAAAAAAAAGGTTTGTTCCTTTTCTTTCCATTATACCATAAATAGTTGATCTCAGAGCAGTGATCTTAGGCTGAAATCTGAATACATGGACAATAATTGCTTCAATTTGTCGGTAAATTTTATTTAGATATTTGAGGTATGATTTGTATCTAAACTTGATACTTTTGCCTCCTTAAAGTTGGGACGGTTTTGCACATATTTTTAAGTACTTATTACGTAGATAAATAAATCATATACAACATATCACCTCCTAATTATACGTATTAGCCTCAATTGACAGATGCTTGAAGATTTACGATTTATTGAGACTAATGTGTATAATTAAAGAAAATAATATATTTTAAATGGTTATCTTATCTACATATTAATAAGCCCTTGAAAACATGTGAGATTTTTTCCCCCAAAAAATTGAATTGAAAATGTCTAATAAGATTAGTTCAAATGATCAATCAAAATAGACCGTGATTTAAATATCTTAGTAAAATTTATTCAAAAAATTAAGAAATTATCGATATATTCAATCATGATCTTTTCTATAAATAACACAATGATTTACAGCCAAGGGAAATGTTTATTTCCACTCACCAAGTACAAAAGTGAGAAAAACAACACAAGAAATCTATTGTACATTTTATGCCTTTAAACCTTTATGAAAAAGATTGCATAAAAAATCACTTATTTGTAGCAACTTTACTTTTTTCGTGATTCTCTCAAGTAAAGCTGGAATGCCAAAACAAAATGAAGTGTATTCTTTCCTTAATAACAAAGAACTATATCATATAATATATGAGCAAAAAGGAAAGGTATTACTAGTTTCAAATAGGGATGTTGTTAACTAATTAATGGTAATTGTCTAATTAATATTGTATAGTAGTAATTAATGGTAATAGCACTAATAGTAATGGTTAATAGTGATACTTATGTTGTTGTTGACGACTAATAGTTGTGATAGACGATAGTGATAGCTAATGGTGATGGTGATTGACAATATATAATAGTGACAGTGATGGTGATTGCAATTAATGATTAGTGATTGTTGTGATAATGATGGTTGATGATTATAATTATAAATGATGACTAGTAATAATAACAACTGATTGTAGCGATTGACAACGATGATAATTATGCTGGCCGTGGATGGTGATATATAGTTGATAAGATGTGTGGCGGTGGTAGTAAGTACTTGATATAATACATGGAGTCATGTTGATGAATGGATTGAATTGGTGATGTGCCATATTTATACAAGTCCTTGAATAAACATCTTAATAATATTAAAATTTTGTTACAAATCTGAATTATTTATCTCCATCCAAAGAATTAAATGGTATAGCATGAAAAAATAAATCCTTTGAAAAATTAAAATTAAAATTTAAGAAATAAATATATTTGATATATGAGATCTGAATAATTAGAATTAAGACATTTCTTATAAAAGCAAATCAATGAGACGTTGAACTCCATTGACAAAAATAGATAGGGTTTAAGTAGCCATATTTCTTTTTCGGTGGAGTCTGAATATATGTTTTCTAACTCGATAATGAAATTATATTAGATATGTTATTATTTTCGTTGAGACCGAGACCTCACCATATTCTCTAACGTTAAAAAGTGCTGCTCGTATAATATTAAATTGATAAGACTCTTCAACAAGAAGTTACATTATTGTATAATATATTTTGTATAAAATTGACAATGAGGAATCAAATTGTCTGCCCTATCATTAGCGCCCCTTTCAGAATTCCCTACTTTTTTGACTAATCATTTCATAAATTAATTATTAACCTTACCAAAGTTTGTAGCATACATATCATATACTACAATTTATATGGTGGTTGTTGGAAACATTTTTTTATTTCCTTTCCTTCACATGTAGGGTGTTAATTAAAAAAACAGTAGCTGAGTTCGATTGCCATTGTATTTTTCTTATATCAAACCTTCCAGGTAAGACTTAACTAGTCCTACATATATATACATAGATTGTAGAGCTAACTACTTTATACAAATCTACTGAGAATTACATAAGATAATTGAAACTGCAATCAGCATATTGCACCATCATCGTGAACAAAATCGTCGTCTCTAATTTCTGGGACTGAGAGTATTGAGTCTTGAGACACTTTT